TATAAAAAAAAAAAAAAGTTTGATTTCCACATTGAATGTAGCCAAGACTTTCCGATATGTGTTTATACAGAAACTGGATTTTAAATAGAAACCTAGAGAAAATAGAGAAATATAGTCAGGGAAACACGTGACAACTAGCCAGTCTCATACTGATCATTATTTGAAATAGCTGAAAGTGTCTGAAATATTGTTCAAAATCATATGAAATTTCAGAAATCATTCTAATATGCTGATATGGTGCTCAAGAAACAGTTTTTATTATGATCAATGTTGAAAATAGCTGTGCTGCTTAATATTTTTGTAGAAACTATGATACAATTGTTTTCAGAATTCTTTGATGAATAGAAGGTTCTGAAGAACAGCATTGAAATTGAAATCTTTAGTAACATTATTATTCAATGTTTTTACTGTCACTTTGATCAATTTAATACCTTGCTGAATTAAATTGAAACCTTGCTGAATTAAAGTATAAACAAGAACAATTCAGTGAAACATGAAAATTAGCCCGTTTCTCTTATTTTCAGACTGTTATCTGAAATAGCTGACAGTACTTTCTGTGCATAAAACTCTGGAAATATAAGGTCTGTGTGGGTGGAGTAAAGCTAGGGGAAACATTGAGTGTGTGTGTGGATGGGGCTGTTGTTTTTGCTCCGGGGGTCTGAATATTGTCCAGCAAGGATTACGTAACAACAGCGCAAGCTGAGTTTCATTCAGTGTGTAAACGCGTGACAGGCAGCGCAAGCAGCTGCAATGCAATGCGATCTCATCTCTCTCTCTCTCTCTCTCTCTCTCTCTCTCTCTCTTTCTCCACCTCTAAAGATTCAACAAGGAGCTCTTCTGCACAATTTTCAAGCAAAACATTTCACCAAATGAAGTTTAAGTTTTAAGTGACAAAACATTCTGTGCATAATTAAAACAAAAATTTGGACACTCTATCAAACCGCATCCAGATTAGACAGTAATTTCTATAACACTAATAAAGAGTTCCATGCTGTTATCTTGTTAAATTATATTACCTTGGAGTAGTATCTTCTTAACATCATGGTGCATGATGTATATATCAAAAGTACCTTAGAATCTGAGCTCTGCAGAGTGCTTGATCATTTCTGGATGTTTTTCAGGGGACGGCTGTGGACACACAGTGCTGGGTGTGGGCAGTGGAAGCCTGGCGTCTCTGGGGTACCCTCTGTCCTATCCCTCAAACTGCGTGTGTGAATGGGAGATCAGCGTGACCACTGGACACACAATCCTTGTGCGCATTGCGGATCTTGACATAGACACAAACAACTGCCAGGTGTCTTACCTGCGACTCTATAACGGCCACGGTCCAGGGCGAACAGAAATTGGTGAGGAATCGGTTGTTGTTGTTTTTTCCTGGTCTTCAGTCAAATTTGTACTTCCAATATAAATTGAGAAAAAAATCTACTTTATGCTGGGAATAAAGTAATTTGTCTTTTCAAGACTTATGTAATCCATGGCCTTATTTACACCTGGTATTAATAAAATGTGTTGTGCAAAAGTTGCCAAAAACTGATGTTAAAGTCAAATATGAAATTCTGCAGTTGAATTGAATTAAATATCTTTATTGTCATTATATGACAGCAGTTATTATTGCATAAGTAACAAAATTAAGTTTACAATCCCTTATACAGTACTGTAAAAACAAGAAATAATTTCAAATAAACCAAATAAATTAAAAATAAGAGTAACAAACAGTATAAAAAATTGAGCAGTTCACACTGGCAGTAAACTTAATGTTAAAATAATATTTTATACTATAAAGTAAAAAGATGTTGTTTACTTGTATATATGTCACAATGAGAAGAAAAGATGTTTGCAATTTCCATTTTATGCCGACTATAATACCAGGTGTAAACAGCTTATGTAATGGCAGCAAAACCACCCACTAATGTACGGAGTGCTGATGAGTAAGTGGAAAATAACTGAAAATTAATCTCATCTCTCTCTCTGCAGTGAAGTTTTGTGGAGGGAGAGAATGGAGAGACGTTGTTATACACTCTGAGGGGCATCAGGTCACAGTGCAGTTCATGAGTGGACCACGCAACAATGGCCGTGGCCTCTTCCTCTCCTACACCAAAAGCCAGCACACAGGTAAGCAGTCAATAAACATTTCTTCTTATTATCAATGTTGAAAACAGCTGCTTAATATATGTATGGAAACTGTGATACATTTTTTTCGGAATTTTTTTAATAGAAAGGTCAAAAGAACAGCATTTATTTAAAATAGAAGTATTTTGTAACATTATAAATGTCTTTACTGTCATTTTTGATCCATTTAATCATGCATCCTTGCTGAATAAAGTATTGCTTTCTAAAAAAAAAATGGTTGTGTTCTTATTGTCCTGTATGTGTGAAAGCTTGTGTTTGTATGAATTAGTGTTGAAGTAGGCTTGGATGTGTCTCAAGATGCAAAAAGGAGCTGCTATGGCAACTGTGTGTGTGTTTGTTCAGATGAGACTGAGGGTCGTCATATGAAACTGATTAGAAAGATTATTTCAGGAGTATGTTTCTGACTGTAAGGGTGTTAGGGTTTTTCCTGGTTCCAGGGTGTGTCCAGAGAGCTTATGAATGACCGGCAGTTAATTTAACAGATGAGTCAATAATTTAAAGTCATTTAAAATGAGAGGAAATTATGTAATGGCTGTTGGTTCTTGTGTCATACTGTACAAAGATGTCACAGTGTTAGAAGTGCATCTAAGCAAGCAATTTTTTCCACTTTCTTGCAAATGTTAATGTTTTCATGTGTGAAACTGGATTCCATGTTGCTAAGGTGTTGTGGGATGTTGCTTATTGCCAAATCCGTATTCTGGTCCCTAGTGGTAGCTCGGGCCACTCCTTCAGTGTCTGTTGGATTTACATTGCAAGTCAGATTGCTTAGAAAGTCAAGTCCAGTCAAGTCAAGGTTATTTGTAGGGCCGCAACTAACGATTATTTTGATAATCGATTAGTTGGTCGGTTATTTTTTCGGATATTTATTATACATTTTTATTTTATTTTATTGACAAAAAACACACTATTCCACATTCTGCCCAATGTCCTTCAAACAAACTGTAGTCCAAACGAGTCGTTCAGTTTAGTTTTTGAAAAGTGATTTCTGTTAAATAAAATACCTCCTTTTGAAGTGGACTTTGAACTTTGTGACTTTGCAGATCTTTTTTATGCTCAAACAGCAACATTACAGACTAACTAAAGTTGGAAAAGTGAAAAAGCATAAGGACCCCTTTAAATAAAAAAATTTTATTGTCATTTATTGGGCTAATAAACTTAAACGACTAAATAGTATTTCTTCACATAAAAAATGCCTCCTATGCCCTTCATAACAGCTTGCATTCTTGCTGGCATTGTTTATGTACTTTTTGACTGTAATTGGGTATTAAAAAAAACACTATAAAGCTCTCTGCCTATAGATAACAGCAATAATTATAGTTTAAATCTCTGCATTAAAATAATAAAGATGATAAAGACGAATAGTACCACTCTAAGTTCGTCTGCCTTGGGAAAGCTAGTGTGTCTCCTATAGGGCTGCACGATAAATCGCATGCGATATTTAATGCGCATCTTGTCAGTAAAGAAAATTTTATTGTCATTTATTGGGCTAATAAACTTAAACGACTAAATAGTATTTCTTCACATAAAAAATGCCTCCTATGCCCTTCATAACAGCTTGCATTCTTGCTGGCATTGTTTATGTACTTTTTGACTGTAATTGGGTATTAAAAAAAACACTATAAAGCTCTCTGCCTATAGATAACAGCAATAATTATAGTTTAAATCTCTGCATTAAAATAATAAAGATGATAAAGACGAATAAAATCACAAACTCAGTTGTAACCAATATGTAAGAGTAATGTTCTGCAGGAACACACGTTCACTTTGATCACAGTCACGTCTTTAGAGTAATTTCTTTATCCTGTAATAGGCGGTAATGAAGCGTCTGATATTTATATTCAGACAATTACACGCTGTTATCCCCTTACAGTTACTACTCTCCTAAAATACTCGCAATGCATGTTGACCTTTAAACCTCGATTTAACTTTCAACAACAGATATTTGAGCACAATGAATGTTTTTGCGCTGATTGTCTCTGTTTTCCGTCTGTCTGACGCCGTGCACGCGCCCGCCGCTCATTCAGTAAAGATTAAAACTTAACACAGACTGTCAGGACGGACCTTTATGCAAAAATGGAAATGCTCGCGTGAATTTGTGACATTTATACATAAGGATATGACCGTAAACTTAAAGTTTTTGCGCTGAGGACGCTCACGCATCATCTGCCAAAACGCCAGGGCAAGCCATTACACTAATGCATTAGCTTAAAGCTTAAAATGAAGAATTCTCATGTTTTGGGCAGCCTGGATCACGTAACTCCAATGCAGCATCTCATTCTGTTTCCTCCACTATTTTTAGATGCATTTTGTCCATAAAAATGGTAATTCAGTGCTGTAATTTGACGCGACCGGCTGAAGTTGGACGTGCACTGTGGGCAGACCCGACTAATCCATAATGAGAATCGTTGTCGATTATTTTCATTATCGATTTTATCGATTAGTTGTTGCAGCCCTTTCAAAATGACAGTGACTTCAACAGTAAAATGTAGTTAAAGGGATAGTTCACCCAAAAATGAAAATTACCCCATGATTTACTCACCCTCAAGCCATCGTAGGTGTGTATGACTTTTTTCTTTCAGACGAATATAATCAGAGTTATATAAAAAAATGTCCTTGCTCTTAATAGCAGTTAATGGTGGCCGAGATTTTGAAGCAAAATAAAGAGCATAAATCCATCATAAAAAGTGCTCCACACGGCTCTGGGGGGTGAATAAAGGCCTTCTAAAGTGAATTGATGCATTTGTGTTAGAAAAATATCCATATTTAAAACTTTATAAATCGTAATCTCTAGCTTCCGCTAACTGTCGTATGCGTGTTCACGTGAGAGTGGCATCCAGCGGATGACGTAGGCGTAGCGTAAGCTCCAGAGAGAATATGCTAGTCTTGCGAGAATGAGAAGTTTTGTTTACAGCAAAAGAAAATCAGCCTACCCTTGGCTTATATCGAAATCCTCTGCCATTTTTCTTTACAAATCCTCGTTTTGTACTTCTAATTCGTGACCGATGTTTTATTTTGCTCTCTCCTTGTCACTTCTCACCGGAGCTTGCACTACGCCTACGTCCTAACTACGTCATCCGCTGGAACGCCACTCTCTCATGAACGAGTGTACGACAGTTAGCAGAACCTAGAGATTACGATTTATAAAGTTTTAAATATGGATATTTTTCTTACACAAATGCATCGATTCACTTCAGAAGGCCTATATTCACTCCCCGGAGCCGTGTGGAGCACTTTCTATGATGGATTTATGCTCTTTATTTTGCTTCAAAATCTCAACCACCATTCACTGTCATTATAAAGCTTGGAAGAGCAAGGACATTTTCCGATTGGATTTGTCTGAAAGAAGAAAGTCATATAGACCTACGATGGCTTGAGGGTGAGTAAATCATGGGGTAATTTTTGGGTGAACTATCCCATTAAGCAGTTATTTTGTCTATATCTTCTGTCCAATGTCTTAATAATGCAAGAGTAATCTGAAAATAAAAGACATGCAGTCGTGGCCAAAAGTATTGGCAGTGACATAAATTTTGTGTTTTCAAAATTTGCTACTTAAGCTGTTGTGGTGTTCATTCACGTTGTATATGTTACTGCCAAATGCCAATACAAGTGACACAAACAATGTGAATGAACACCACAACAGCTTAAGTAGCAAATTTTGCAAAACACAAAATTTGTGTCACTGCCAATACTTTTGGCCACGACTGTACAATACAGTTTAAGACATTTGCATTACTTGTTTTGTTGTAGCTTTGACTGGTTACTCAAATTTCATGATTTGTTACATAGATTAAAATTACATAGATTTTGTCTCTGTTTCTTTTTCGACTGTGAAACAACAGACCAGGCCAGTCTTAGTACTAATTAGTACAGAAGAGTTTTAGAAAAATCTGGCTGCGTGTGTATAGTACAGTCACTCATGTCTGGTGTAGACATGTGTTAGGGGTTTGTTCAAATAACTAGTTCTAATGCCCAAAGCATAAGAAAAAGTGATAGTTATTTTTTGTAATAATGTCGAATGCTGCAGAAAGTTTCAAACTGTTGTGTAAGCACATTTGTGAAGGTGCTCTGTACAGCATGGCACATCCTGAGCCTCCAAATCTTTGGAATCACAGCTATGCACTTCTGTGTTTGATGTATCTTAACAATGACATTTGCCCTTTGACCTCTGGAGCTGTCTGAGGTCAGGGGTTTGCACTGCCATGTGGGAGCTACACCTGTTTACCCCAGCACTCAGAGACTGTGTGTGTGCGAGAGAGAGAGATCATATTTCCCATGAGTCAGGAAAGAGACAGATGAATCCATGCTGTGGGTGTGAGTAATGGGTACAATAACACCACAAAATACCTTGAACCTGAAATGCGCACACACGGTCATACACATTCCAGCATTGTGGCAGGAAGTTTTGCATGGGGGAGCACCACTCATATTTTCTTGGGGAAAGCATAACGGATGTAAATCTAGTTGGTATTGATCTGTTCATTCAGATGGAGGCTTTTATCCACAAAAATGAAACACAATACACCAGTCTGTTACACCACTTACTGAATGGCCAGTGCGCACATAACACACACATATACAACTGCATATTATCTTTGTGTGGAAGGATGACATTAATCAATATAGTGTCACCATGGCAACCATCTGATGTGCTGCTTTATCTGACATAGGTAAATATATTTCAAGAGGTTTCAAAGAAAATGTGTCTCTTTTCTCATCCTTCAGACCTCATCACCTGTCTGGAAAAAGGAAAGCACTTCAGTGAAGCGGAGTTCAGGTACACACATTTAAAGCTGTCTGGGGTGTGTGTGTGCATGTTCTTGCGTATATGTGTGTCTGTGTCTCATTTTGCCATCCTGCATTTGCAGTAAATTCTGTCCTGCTGGATGCCTGACTGATTTCGGAGAGGTTTCGGGAACCATACCGCATGGATACAGAGATGTAAGTATGCCACTACTGAGTGGATGTTAGATTAAAGGGTTAGTTGAGCCAAAAATGAAAATTCTGTTATTATTCACTCACCCTCATGTTGTTTCAAACCTGTATGACTTTATTTAAAGAACGGGAAAGGAGATATTTTTAGTAATGTGTTAAGCCCAAAGTATACTATGGTTTTGATGCGAATGCTAGCGCATATGTACAGTCGAACACATATGCTGCGTCCCCATTCGCATACTACCATCCTAAATAGTATTCAAAATTAGAATTAATGTGTCCCAAATCATAGTAAGTCAAAGTGCAGATCCATGCACATTCTAACGGCTAATATTCCCCACAACCCACTGCATTGGACAAGTATTTGATTAGAACTACAAACATGATGCATATGCTAGAACGATGGTTAAGTAGAGAGGTTTGGATAAAGTGGTTTAACCTGACAAAAAAAAATTTTTATGTTATCCCCGTTACACTTCATCTGCAACAGTATTGTAACCTTTTATAAAGATACGTTGGTCGTAAACTTTATCAAAATTCATCATTATGCAAATGCATGAGGAGACTTCTTGTCATGAAAGACCCACAACTGGCAGGTCAACATACTACTTCATTTCTCTCCAGTACCGTAGGAAATTAATTGAAACGAATTCTGAAGGATGTTAACTGTGACAGGATGATTGACAGGGCAGTTTAAACAGTGACCGGATGCACGTAACTAAGCAACAGATTGGTACGGTAAAGACGCAGTTATGACAAAGTAGTATGGGTTACACTTTACTTGAAGGGGTGTGCATAAGACTGACATGACACCTTCATAATCATGACATGACACATGTCATGAATATGAAGGTTTTTTATGCATGTTTATGACAACTGTCATTAAGTGTCATTCGCTCAGTTATGTAATTTTTAATGCAAAGATGACATTGTTTGAGATGTCTTTGTTATGGGCTATGGTTAGGGGTAGGGGTAGGGTTAGGTTAGGGTTAGGTCAAATAATGTCATATTTTCATTAAAAATGACATAACTGAGTGAATGACACTTAATGACAGTTGTCATAAACATGCATAAAACCTCCTTCATATTGACACATGTCATGATTATGAAGGTGTCATGATTATGAAGGTGTCATGTCAGTCTTATGCACACCCCTTCAAGTAAAGTGTTACCGTAGTATGTCCCAAAGCTTGCCTAGTTTTCTGCTACACACTCAAAAGTATGTATTTTTTACTTTTAGGGCATAGTATGAGTAGGCAAATTGGGATGCAGCAGTAGCCTTTCAAAGTATTCAAAGTATAGTCTGTGCAAACACACGTGCACTAGAAAGATTAATCCTTGTCCATTGTCTGTGCTATTTCTCTTCAGAAGTTATGAACGGTCACTTGTGCACTATATTTCAAGCCTTCATACACTGTATGAAGAAACTGATTATCATTTCATTATTCACTGATTATTTTCTCCTCCAGTGAGCTCTCAACTTGAGAACCACTGTGAATGTCTGTCATTGAATTCTCTGAGAAGATCTGGCTCGGAAAAACCAAACACCGCTCAGGGACACAAGAAGTGAATTCTTTGCATTCTTAAGAAGCGTTTATAAAGTGTCCTTCATTCTTTAAGGAGTATGTATTTTATGTAAGTTAGAAGGTATTCACTTAGAAATTATTTATTCAATGAATTGCATCTTTTTAGTAAATTGGTTAGAAAACTCTTGAAATTGCACAATTGCACAAATAAATGATTATATCACACAACTATCATGCTAACACATGATGTTTAACTGTTTGGTTATAGTTTTAAAGCAACAGCGTATTTGAAACACTTATTGAATTTACCAGTTCTGCCTGTTTTGTTACCAGGCTTCCAGTGTATAAGTGCGTCACCTAATGTTTTTACAAATTAAGGTATGAGTCTAAATTATTGTCTGTGGTAATCAAAAGCATGTCACAGATGCTGTCAGCTGTGTTTAACAGAAGAATGTTTCTTTTAGAGCGACCTCACAGTGTCTTAGCCGTCATTGCTGATGACCTCATCACTGCTTTAATGCTTGAAACTGTAGATGATTTCATTTTGTCAGTTTGAACACAATAGGCAGTTAACTTCTTGAGAGCGTGTTTCAAACTTGAACGCAGTGTTTAAGGTGTATGAATATGAGTTTGAGGGAAAGACAGAGCGAGAAGCAGACGTTCTTTTGAAGTTGAGTCATTGTAAATGATTCTGCGTGTCAGTTTTAGAGCTCTTGGTCTCCTAGGGGTGTGTTGGTATGTGCGTCTGGATGTATGTGTGTGTGTTTTTATGTGTGTATGACAGCGTGTTTCTCTGGGAGATGTTAGATCAGGTTTGGCTGAATGGTTTTCTAATGCAGACCAGCTGACAGCAGTCTTGTTTCTCAGCTCAGATACACCCTCAGAATTAGTGCGGGGCCCATATGACGCCTTTACGAACGTGTGTGTGTGCGCAACGTTGTTTGTGGCGAGAGCAGAGTTATATTTTGCCCAGAGGAAGTGGTGTATGTTTGCGGTGTCGTTGTGTGTGGGTGTTGAGAGTGTGTGTGGGTGTTGAGAGTTTCTCTAGTGTTTGTGGTCTCTTTTTGGTTTGGAGTCCCAACTGTGTGTGTTTGTTTAATCAAAACTGTCATTTTTTTCTTTTTAAACTAGCAATTTTACTATTATTCCACTATTATATGGCTCTGGCCGTATACACATTGAAGTTAGATGTGGTTATTTTCTTGAAGTCCTTGAAGTTATGAGTTTGGAAATCGTGATTTCAGCATGATATGAATTCGAGTGCTACCACAAATATATGTGTGCCATAAAACCAGCATCTGTGGATCAGATTGTTTAAAACTTGTTTATTAGAACTGTTTATTTTTTGACAGGCCTATATGACTGATTTAAATCCGTTTGATTATATTGTGTTCACATGCACAGCAGACATTTCTGTTGTAAACATAATCTTGATTTGTTTATTTGATTAATTGTGGAGGCCTTGGACACATTAGGCAAGTTATTAAGAAAGACAGGGAGCTTTTAAGACCCTAATTCAACAAAATAGAGGGAAGAATGCACATTAGGTGTGTAAATGATACTTGCATTTTGTCCTTTATGCGCTGCCACAGCAGATGGCAAATGTGGTACATTTCCTGTCACCTCATAAGCTGCTAAATGAGTTGTATTTTCTGGCAAGCTTTATCGCTATTCTTCATCAGTAGTCCACAAAATGCAGGCAGAATAACGTTGTATAGTCAACATTCACAACTGAAACTTAACCAATTCCAAGTTGCATCTGACCTGATTCTTTGAATGGACACAAACATATCTGGTTATTTATTTGAGCGTCGACTGCAACTGACAACTGAATTCATTAAGAATTCACATTTGACAGCCAATTTTTCAGTTGGTTTCAAATGTTCAAAAGGAGAGCAGAAAAAAAAAGCAGAAGCAGAATAAATTTAAATGCTGTCATCATTTACCTTGTGTCAATCCTAACCTGTATGACTGACTTTCTCCTGAGAAAAAAAGATGATATTTTGGAAAAAGTGTATACAATGAAATTCTTATTTTTTGGACCCCTATGACATTCATTACATGACCAAAACAGTTAAAAAAAATAAAATAAATAAAAAATTTGTGTTCCACATGCAGAGGAAATAAAGTCATACAGGTTTGGAGCAACATGAGGGTGATTAAAGGATGACAGCTTTGGGTGAATTATCCCTTTAATGAGCAAATTAAATGGTGGATGTCTGTCAGCTGTAGTTTACTGAGAATTACAGGATAATAATAATGCATTTCTGGTCACTAATGTTGGTTTCTTGAAAAACACATCATATGTTGCTATGGTTACTTACCAATATGTTAGCAGTCCTGAGTTTATAAGAGCGACTCATTTATTCTGTACACAACTGAAAGATCATTTAGGAGATTTATTCCCACAAATAAACTACTGTTCAAAAGTTTGAGGTCGGTAAGATTTTTTTTTTTTAAATGTTTTTGAAAGAAGTCTCTTATGCTTGCTAAGGCTGCACTAATTTAATGTTGTAGAGTATTATTAATATTAATAAAAGAGTAATCATTTTAAATATCACAATTTAAAATAACTATTTTCTATATGATCTTTCAGAAATCATTTAAAAACACTGATTTGGTGCTCAAGAAACATTTCTTATTATAATCAATGTTGAAAACAGTTGTGCTGCTTAATTTTTTTGTGGAAACTGTTTTTTTTTAAGGATTCTTTGATTAATAGAAGGTTTAGAAGAACAGCATTTATTTGAGATAGAAATCTTTTGTAACATTACCAATGTCTTTACTCTCACTTTTGATCAATTTAATGCATCTTTGCTGAATAAAAAATATGAATTTCTTAAAAATAAAACTTAAAGAGCCCAAATTTTTGAATAGTATCATATACGCTTTTGTGATTCCCAAAACTTTGCAGTGTGTATGTGGCCTGTGAGAACACTATATGTGCATGTTTTTGTGTAAGTCTCATTCTAAACTTTGGAAGAAGTTAGTCTAATGAATCCTCGATCATTCTTTATCACAGTTCATTCTTTATCTTTATCACATTCTATACCACTGCAGTTCTGCTTCAAGGATGTGACCTCATCGTGCCAAGTCACAGCTTGTGGGTTTTAGGTGAGTGAGTCAGTGTCAGCTGTCTTAATGTCTCACCGTCTCTTTCTGCAGTCTTCTCCTCTCTGTCTGGCCGGTATTCATGCGGGTGTGGTGTCCAACACTCTGGGGGGGCAAATCAGTGTGGTCAGCAGCAAAGGAATCCCACACTACGAAAGCTCACTGGCCAACAATGTGACATCTGTGCCGTGAGTAACCCATTTGCATTCTTGCTTGCTTTCTTCATGGGAAAATCTATTACATTTGATTACAGGGCTTACAAGGCAGTGTAGTATTGAAATTCCTCTTAATATCCTTTTCTGAGTCTTTCTGCAAATCAGTTACGTTTAACTTTTTAATGCACAATTTTTTTTACAACTTTTTGCCAAAGACCCCCAAATCTATCTATCTATCTATCTATCTATCTATCTATCTATCTATCTAAAATAACTATTTTCTATATGATCTTTCAGAAATCATTTAAAAACACTGATTTGGTGCTCAAGAAACATTTCTTATTATAATCAATGTTGAAAACAGTTGTGCTGCTTAATTTTTTTGTGGAAACTGTTTTTTTTTTAAGGATTCTTTGATTAATAGAAGGTTTAGAAGAACAGCATTTATTTGAGATAGAAATCTTTTGTAACATTACCAATGTCTTTACTCTCACTTTTGATCAATTTAATGCATCTTTGCTGAATAAAAAATATGAATTTCTTAAAAATAAAACTTAAAGAGCCCAAATTTTTGAATAGTATCATATACGCTTTTGTGATTCCCAAAACTTTGCAGTGTGTATGTGGCCTGTGAGAACACTATATGTGCATGTTTTTGTGTAAGTCTCATTCTAAACTTTGGAAGAAGTTAGTCTAATGAATCCTCGATCATTCTTTATCACAGTTCATTCTTTATCTTTATCACATTCTATACCACTGCAGTTCTGCTTCAAGGATGTGACCTCATCGTGCCAAGTCACAGCTTGTGGGTTTTAGGTGAGTGAGTCAGTGTCAGCTGTCTTAATGTCTCACCGTCTCTTTCTGCAGTCTTCTCCTCTCTGTCTGGCCGGTATTCATGCGGGTGTGGTGTCCAACACTCTGGGGGGGCAAATCAGTGTGGTCAGCAGCAAAGGAATCCCACACTACGAAAGCTCACTGGCCAACAATGTGACATCTGTGCCGTGAGTAACCCATTTGCATTCTTGCTTGCTTTCTTCATGGGAAAATCTATTACATTTGATTACAGGGCTTACAAGGCAGTGTAATATTGAAATTCCTCTTAATATCCTTTTCTGAGTCTTTCTGCAAATCAGTTACGTTTAACTTTTTAATGCACAATTTTTTTTACAACTTTTTGCCAAAGACCCCCAAATCTATCTATCTATCTATCTATCTATCTATCTATCTATCTATCTATCTATCTATCTGTGTTTGAGTGGGGGGGATTTAAAAATATGTATTAAAAAGTAAATATTGTATATTAAAAGTAGAAACCGTCTTTCTTGAATTTGCAATTACAAGTTGCAAAATAAATTTGATCTAAGCTTTATTTATATTATATTATAGTTATTATAGTCATATCATTTTTTTTTTGTTCTCCAGTATTTTGCAAGAGCGTATAGAGGTGAATTAATGTAGTGAATTAAGTAC